ATAGCTCCGCGTATGTGCGCTTCGATGGCGGGAACGGAGGCTGAAAAAAGTTCTTTTTCTTCCCTTTTGTTCTTTTTCTTCGCCGCTTTTAATTAGCGTCCGAGCGGAAGCCCAGCACGCTCAAAGAACCAAACAAAAGACTTTGTTCATATGCTTAATTAGCTTCAAATTTGCGCGTTCTCCATCGCTGCGTTTGCCGTGCTTTCTGTTTATTCGTTGCTCGACTTACAAAAGGACGTAACTGCACTCTGATGTGAGCCTAGGAAAGTATTGAGTTTTATGGATAACAGGGTTCATCGCAAAAAGTGGTTGCGTTGTTATGTCAGGAGAGCGACGTATTAATGGGAGTCGGGCGCCTGGATTTAATTTCATACTTAATTTTGTCGTCTTTTATTTCAGGAATAATCATCAAAAGCTTTTCGGCCACAAAGACAACATCGGGTTTTAACGCTAATTGAAATGCCTACGCAATATTAGCATTTATCGTCGTATACGTCTTTTTGCTTTACATGGCGTTGCATGAAAGCAACAAATGGTTTTCGGTTTCAATCCTCTGTGGCAGTAACAATAAGTTGCATTGGAGCAACAAATATATACTTGGGGAGGTTTGGGATTGTCTGATCTCCATCTTTACCAAAATAAGTAAATAAGTCAGGGACTCCAATTTTTCCTTTAATCCCAATAAGAATGTGTGACACACATTTTTTTCTCCAAAATCCATAATGTTTCATGCAATAAAAGGTAAACTTCTGAAGATAGAGTATCTTCAAAATAAAATGGACTAAATTTTTTTGCTCATTTCATAAGCTTCTTACGTGGCAATAGTTTCTCTATTCAAAACAAGTGCTTTTTTGGGTGAGCCAAAATAAATTGCAATGTTTCGAATCGTGTTCATTGCGAAATTTCGGTTGAGAAACGTGAATCGGAATGCTTAAATTCGACCTTGGCTACTGTTCCATTTGTGATTACTTGAGGGAGCAAAATTTTAGGAAATCCGAACTTGCCAATAGTTTCTCTATTCAAAACAAGTGCTCTTTTGGGTGAGCCCAAATAAATTGCAATGTTTTGAATCGTGTTCATTGCGAAATTTCGGTTGAGAAACGTGAATCGGAATGCTTAAATCCGTACCTTGGCTACTGTTCCATTTGTGATTACTTGAGGGAGCAAAATTTTAGGAAATCCGAACTAAACTCTAAAGTCAACAAAAGCGTCAAACGAAAGTATCCCTCAGAGTCAAGAGGTTCAATTAGAGGCTTCATTTAGGGAACGGGAAGACAGCAACCGTGGGCCAGACCCGTTTCTGCTTCCTCTAAGTGCGTCGCGAGACACTAAATGAGGTGCGTCGGAGAAGCGACTTGCTGAGGTAGACGATAGTAAAAATGTAGAAAGTCCCACAATTTGTGTAGGGGAATTTCGAAGTCAGAAAATGAAGCAAGAAAATAATTAGCTGTCGCGTAATTTAGGGGCATTAGGGATCCTGAATATTGTATGAGATGAGCTGAATAAAGCGGTGACTTGAGGTTGCCGGATGAGCGGGTAGCATCAACCCGAGTCGAAGGAGTCATTTGAAGAAAGCGCGTGATCGCCAGATCGACGGCCAAAGTGCAAAACCATGTGTCTCTATTGCGATGTTTCAAAATTTTCCTGTTTTTATTTTTCCGAGAAGAAATCATCCAACTTCATAGCTTGAAATTTATGCAGAATATTCTGATGACAAACAAGAATAATCAAGGAAGTTCTCAAGAAATTACGTCGACTCGTTCTCCAAAGAACAGTATGACGGGACGATTGAATGTGACGGGAAGTCTGTAACGTCGCAAGCGGAGATACTTGATTTCACACTTTGGTCATCGAGATACTCAAAAATTGTATTTTCGGCGGAATACTATATTCTTTGAGGGTAAACGTACTTTACTGCTAGGCCATTCTACCAAAGGTTACTCTTTAAACCCTTATTTAACATTTGAATAGTTGCCATGGTCAGGAAAGGGCGTTTTTTCCGAGCTATTCCTCCGAACGCAGGGTGCTTTTTCATGATAAAAATCATGATTAAGGGTACACACTATAATTTACAATATTGTCATCGAAAATGCATGCCACTTGATTAGCACAGGACTGATAAAAATGTCACTACCGGGTTGGTGGAGGGGCGTTTCTGCCAAAATTTTAAACAGGAAAATGATTTGCTCAATTTCTCCGCACTCTCTCGTGTGATCGTGATCTTAATACGGACGGTATGTTAACAAGTCAAAGAAATCAAGTTTTTTCATGTCTTCTTGAATGACAGTACCGAGTGATTTGTGGTAGAAGGACGTACCTACCAATTTTTTTATTTATTTTTTTTCTTCTGTGAAAAAAAAAGAGGAAAATGATTTTTTGCTCAATTTCTCCGCACTTTCATGTGTGAACGTGAACCGTGATCTCAATACGGACTGAATTTAAACAAGTAAAAAAATCGAGTTTTTTTCGTGCTTTCTCGAAACTTGACTGTCGATGGTTTTGCCCCTCTTCTAAAACCCCTTCCTTGTTTTTTTTTGGGGGGGGGGGGGGGGGCTGTGTCATCCTCCACTCGTGGTTTCAAAATGAGCTCGCTCATACTGCAAATCTCCGAGTCTGAATCCCGTCCTCCAACTGAATACGAGAGGACAACGAACGGCTTTAAAATTTAAAATTTAGAGGAACCCGTTCAATTGACGTCACGAAACGTCGCGTCGTCGCGTCCGACGTGGCAACGGGACGGCGGAGAGGGAGGGAGATCGAGAGGAAACATCGGGGGCAAGTGGGGCGTGGATCGTCGAGAGGCTTCGGGGAAGAGCAGGGTTATGAGACAAATTAGAAGAAATTAGTATTTAAAGGGATGAAAAGGAAAGCCTTCCGTTTAATGAGACGTAGCTCGGCTCTAATGAAATTCACCGCGATGGTCTTACCGACCGACTTAAAGGGATAGTTCTCACTTTGCTATTTTGCCGGATAACCGCGGAGCACCGACGGTGGTTGATGAATCGGTTTGCCGGGTCCTGAATGGCTCGCCCGGGCGCCCGAGCAGCCAGCCGCCTCGCCCGAGAACTAGTTACTATCCTCAATGCGTCCCTCCGACGGATTTTCCCTCACTCCACCGCCTCATTAATTAGGGCATTAAACGCTGTATCGCTGTACTCCCTGTCTTGCAAGCATTATTCCAAGCCAAAGAAAAAATCGACCACTCCCTCTGATAACGCTCTCACAGTGGTGTTACCGGGGCGGTCTATACAGGGGGTCTGGAATCCCCCCCCCCCCCTATGATCAGGAAATTTTCCCCCAAAAACGTCATTTTTTTTAATTATCAGGAATTTTTAACCTTTTACAAAGTGGCTAGGAACTGGGGAAGTAGGGAAAAGTCAGGAAATTGCGTCAACGGTCAGGAAATTTTTTGTAACGTCGGATTTTACGTAAAAATCGCGCCCGCCATAGGCCAGCTGATCGCATTGCTTTGCAAACGTTTTGACCACATCAATGAAATTAGCTTACGTTATTGTATAAAAGTCAGGGAATTTCATTAGAACAAGTCAAGGAATGATAAAAATGAAATTTTGCTAGCCACCCTGTTTCAGCCTCCCCTCCTTTTTAGACCGTAAACCCTCCTACTTGAATAGACCATTAGACAAGGCGTGAAGTAGAAGAAAGCGTTTTCTCCTCAAAATGTGACATAGAAAATAACTTACACAACGGGAAGTTCCGAAATCATTATTTTCTAAACGAGATTTTGACAAGTATTTCTAATACATATCAAATGGAAGTTCGATCATACAAATGAAGTCATTTGTATTTTCGCCATTTAATCAATGAAAGTAGAAAACACTTAAATCTTGTTTAAGATTTGATTTTCAGACTTCCCGATGTGTGGCTTGTTTGACCTGTGGAATTTTGAAGAGAAAGCACCAAGTGTTGTGCTCTAATTCATACCTTGTGTAAAGGCCCATTTCTGGCTGCGCAACTGTCTTTTCGTCGTTCACAATGATGTGTTCGCATTCATTATGTTATCAGCGATTTATTATAGCTGAGACATTATTGCATCTCGGTGCAAAGATACAATCAAAATAATTAGTTAATTCCTTTTCACTTGATCTGTACCCCTGAACTCCTCCAACTACAAATAAGATCAAGGATAACGAACACAATATTCAAATAGCGCGAGGAAGAGACGCGCGTCGATGACGGCGTAGAGGTACAACCATTCGTGCTTGATGGATGTCTGTGATGCATCTGCAAAATTGAAGGCGCGATGTCGCTAGGCAGGCGTGAGCTCGCATTGCTTTGCTCAATGGTGCTAAAGATGTGTCACTCAGATTCTAGAGAAAGGTCAAAAAACGAGGCCCGATTACGTCTCTTCTGGTGCTGGCCGTTTTGACGCTCGATTTTTTTTTATTTTTTTTTTTAAATTTGAATTTTGATTCTTTTTCACGATGCATTTGTAGACGTATATCCAAAACTCGTGTGCATCGACCCTATACAAACAGCGCGGCACATGTATTTAGTAAGCCTCCAGTCGATTTGGATCGGCCTGAGCATCTTATGATTAAGCTAACTCCTGATCAAGATATTAATGTTTTCCGTTTGCATTGGTTACGGAAACTTTAGATTGCCTGCTCATAAGAAAAACAATTCTCTACTAAGTCAATTTGCGCACTACAACGGTCATGACGAGCCTCTTAGTCAAGCAGTGTTCCTTCCCAACCCATGTTGTTTGAAGTGGAAACAATGTGCGAAAACTGAGCTAAAGTGCCAAGATTAAGGTTGTCATTTATTCATGCTTTTCATGGAGTTGCATTCCGTGAAACATTTTGCTTTTCCTGGTGTACTGTGCAGAAAAGCTCGAAAGAAAAAATCGAGAGGCGGAAATATTAACAACAATGAGACGTTTTGTACGTTACAACTTCATTTATCATGTATGTAGGCTTTAAACTATGTTCATATATTTACTGAGTGAAAAATTAAATTAATTTCCCTCCTTTCTGTTGCAGGCATGCACCCGGCGGGACTCTCGTCAGATTTGAGCTTATCGCACTTCCGGGCCCCAGAGGACAATGAGTGACGACTGTCCCAAGGGCCTTAACTGGAAGCTTAGCTCTCGGAAGTGTCGTCCAGAACCCTACAGGTATGTTTTACGCCTTTCCAACCTTCCTGTCCTTGATAAATATCTCAAACACCGAGAGAAAGGCACTGAGCCTGAAGATAGTAAGGCCAAAGTTGATTTCTGCAGGGATTCCACATTTTTCACAGACAGTAACTCTTTCAGTCAACTCTGCTTAACTAGTGGAGACAGACTTTGCAGATCAAATCGTGCAATTTTTCAAAACATAACCCTTTTTCTACAAATTCATCTTTCTTGTAGCTAAAATTTGAAAATGTTGTTGCCAGCACCCTCATTCCGAAAGCCGAAATAATACACTCTAATCAATAAAGATCCCTTGTCACCTAAAGTTTAGTGTTTTCCCCAAAAAATAGGATGCCACTAGTCGCCTCTTAATTACAAAAGCAATTATTTTTAAGTACGAATTCATGTGAAATATATAATTTAACGATCTCTTTAAGAGCATTGTCCACCGTAATATTTCAAAACTTACCGAACACCTACAGCAACCATATAGATTGCTACGAAAAAAATCAGGTTATTATTTAAGCTTAAAATTGAGGAAAATTGGAAACGTTTGCGGTCTTTTTTTTTTTTTTTTTTTTTTTTTTTTTTAATCGAAAAAATTGAGACGGTACTCATAATTATGTAAAGGACATTTCAGATGTGAAAAATTGAAAATGTCAGAGCTTAATTCGGATTCCTATAAATTCCTTCATTGTAAGCTGCTACAAACTGTTGTCACCAGTTGCAAACGCCTTCAGTTTCGTTTGATACTTCGCCGCTCACACCGGAGTTTATATATTTGTATCATGAATCAAATAGTTTCCACTTTAAATTAGCAGTAGAGACTGTGAAACACTGCAACTGATTGCCCTTTTTGCACTTAACGTCTGAATTAGAATTCGTATAATTGCTCCATTTTTATCGAAATAAAATTTTTTCATTTGATACGGCTAAGCTCTGAGCAGTTCGTTCCTAAAACCTCGTAAATGACGACCGGATGAATCTCTATTCGGTTCATGACTCTTCTTGCAGTATTGAAAGTGAATGGTAATACCGGAGATGGAAAATAAACAAACGATAATACATCCAAAGCCTGAAGCTCTTCATTCAGCATTATGAAGAATCAAATGTATTTAGCTCAAACATGTGGTGCTTGCTGAGCACTGTGGTTGAAGGATCCTGTTGAGGTTTTCCAAAACTAAAGTCATTCAGACCAAATAGGATTAACTTTCAACGTACCCAGAGTTGTCGATGTTCTCAGAATAAATTTTACGACTTTTTTTAAACCTCTCCCAGACCATATACTCTGTCTCGTTTCAACAATCCGAAGACAATATATTTGACAGATACCACATCGCTTTGTTCCTTATAGCGTGAAAGTTACTTTCGGAGGCTAACGCTTAGATTCGCGCAAAAATGAATGACCAAAGACTTATAGAGCAATTGATTTCGCAATTCTGACCTCATTTGCAAAAACTCGACTAGCGAAGGCCTCACCCAAACATTCATCAGTCATCGTTTGGTGAACTTAATGCTCATCAAGTTACCCATAATAATTCATCATTCGTCAAAAATCAGCGTTGACCACCGAACTTAACTTTCACATCACCCGATTGCCATACTATTTTGCTCAAGCGGGTTTTCTTAAGCACATTATCCATGCAACAAACACACATTTTTATTACAGTTTTTCAAGTCATAAATGAAATATTGTAAATAATAGAGTACCCCTCGTCGAAACTTATCCGTGTTGAGAGCAGTTTTCGGTTCGATATCAACATCACTCTCTCGCTAAAATACAAGTGAAACGGTTGGCTTGCTCGAAATCTCAACCAAGTGTTTCTGTTCTGCTAACACACTCATCAGTTCCCGCATCTGCTTTTAACAGTTTGCATCAAGATTTCGCACATTATTTCGCTGTTGCAATATACATTTTGGCAGCTGTATCGCTTGAGATATACAGGGTGTTTCAGACCACCCGTACCAGGCCTTTTTCTCGGTTGGTTTAGGTCGTACGAAGTCGGAGACCGCGGGGTTGAATAGGGAATTGACCCCAAGGAATCCGAATTTCGTGGTCCCGAAACAACCCCACCCCCCCTCGGGGGGTAAAGGGGGGGTCACGATGCTAAAAGCCACGGTTCCCGACCGAATTGCGGATAGATCGCATCAGAATTGAAAAGCACGGAAAATTTCACGTGAAATTGACCCCTAAAAATCCAAAATCGGACCACCCAAGGCCCAAAAATGACCCCCTAAAAAGGGGGACAGTACCCCCTCCATAATTTCTCTTTGGTCTCAAAATTGACGTAAATTCTCCAGAAAAAGACGGTTTCCCAGGTAATCGACCCCGAGAAATCCAAATTTTATGGTCCCGAAGCTCCTCTAGCCCCCCTTGGGAGGTAAACGGGGGGGCCCAATTTTAAAAATCGGGGCTCCTTTCCGAATCGCAAATTGATTGCATCCAAATTGAGGAGCAGAACACATTTACACCTTAAGTGACTCCTAAGAGTTCTAATAGACCCCCTGAACGGCAGAAAGTAACTCCTCGAGGAGGGGGGCCTCGCCCCCGCCAAAAATTTCTCAGGATTCCTCTTTGGTCGCAAAATTGACGTCGATTCTCCAGAAAAAGACGGTTTCTTATGCAATCGACCCCGTGGAGCTGAGGGAACATGAAATTTAGAGTCCCCGGGGTCGATTACATAGGAAACCGTCTTTTTCTGGAGAATCGACGTCAATTTTGCGACCAAAGAGGAATCCTGAGAAATTTTTGGCGGGGGCGAGGCCCCCCTCCTCAGGGAGTTACTTTCTGCCGTTCAGGGGGTCTATTAGAACTCTTAGGAGTCACTTAAGGTGTAAATGTGTTCTGCTCCTCAATTTGGATGCAATCAATTTGCGATTCGGAAAGGAGCCCCGATTTTTAAAATTGGGCCCCCCCGTTTACCTCCCAAGGGGGGCTAGAGGAGCTTCGGGACCATAAAATTTGGATTTCTCGGGGTCGATTACCTGGGAAACCGTCTTTTTCTGGAGAATTTACGTCAATTTTGAGACCGAAGAGAAATTATGGAGGGGGGTACTGTCCCCCTCTTTAGGGGGTCATTTTTGGGCCTTGGATGGTCCGATTTTGGATTTTTAGGGGTCAATTTCACGTGAAATTTTCCGTGCTTTTCAATTCTGATGCGATCTATCCGCAATTCGGTCGGGAACCGTGACTTTTAGCATCGTGACCCCCCCTTTACCTCCCGAGGGGGGGTGGGGGGGTTTCGGGACCACGAAATTCGGATTCCTTGGGGTCAATTCCCTATTCAACCCCGCGGTCTCCGACTTCGTACGACCTAAACCAACCGAGAAAAAGGCCTGGTACGGGTGGTCTGAAACACCCTGTATATACACGCCGCGTACGGTCTGCAATGATCTTGTCAATAAAGCTAGAAGACGCTAAAAGCTCTCTCGTTATAAAACTTGCGTTGAAATGGAGTGATGTTGTCTCATATTGGTGGTGAAACCAGTGAAAAGTTTGTACCTTAATTGACTACGCCAGACAAGTTTAAGAATGAAAGCACCAAATGTCATTGTTCCACGCCAAAATTTCACGCAGAGAGCTTTATATTTATTAAACACTTCAAAAACCAACCAATGAGTAAAAAATTAGCGTACTTACAGTTTACAATAGTATCTATCCGTTTACACTTCCACGCGGGGAAACAAACCAGAATCGTAACTCAGCGGGTTGATTTTTGTAATTGATATACAAGGGGAAAATGGAGCAACCCTATTTGTAGAAGCGGGTGATTGCAATAGACAAACTAGGGAAGTAATAGACAAACTAACGGCAACCCACGAGTGATCTTATTTTTCGCCCATTATCCAGCCGCCTCCCCCCCCCCCCCCCCCCGGTCTTTAAGAGCCTCCCGTTTTACCTATAAAATCGCTTCATTTTCCTCGTGTCCTCTTTCTCCATTTCTTTGTCTATCAATTTCAATAATCGGGCCGTAGGTCACATCAGTCACTTGAAAACTATCATATTCTTTCCGATAACTGACCAATAACTGAAGATTGAATATGATGCCTTGTTTTTTGAGCAACAAAATCAGTCTTCTTCTATGAGTGCTTTGAGATGAAATCACTCAACTTTCGTGAACAAGAGGCTCCTCACGTAAAACCAAGGGTGACCTTTAGAGTAATTGCACTTTCTGACGACTCACTAATCCCGTTATATTGTCTCCCCCGCGACAAGGGAATATTGCGTGTAACCTACTTCAGGGGCAATTCCAGGAATCAATGCGCTCGTGAAATGAATTGTATACTTAACCGCGTTCTTGAACAAAAAAACTAGAACTTGGACTAGAATTTTTATCCCGGTATTTGCGGAATTCCCCTCCCCCCTCCCTCCGACCCTGGCCGGAAGCTCGCGTAAGAAATAAAGATGCTGTTCAAACTCTTCAATTAAATTACATTCCGCAAGCATGGCTGAGCTCATTTCGCCGAGACGGAGGTAGACGATTGCGATGTTCGCTCGGTAAACCGCAAAGTTTTTATTAACGTTTAACCTCTAGAAATACAGAGTGATTCAGACCACATAGCCGCCCTCATTTACCGAAGAATGGCAGGTGAAATGAAATATCGATCCGGAACTGCGTTATGATCCATCGGGAAAATTCGCTCAGTGGCGTGGCGTGCTTTGCGATAAATCGATTTATCTGCCTTTTAACTCCATTGAAAAGGATCGACTAACAGGGTGTTCACAACGAGCCCCTTGATATTCGATTCTTTACCATAGCTTCAAATGGAAAAATATCGATGATCGATCTTTCGCACTTCGCCATTTGGTTTGCAGGATTCCCTTCGTTTCACGCAGGCTCTGAGCGGAATCCGCACGTTTTGACTTGGACTGTGTCAGTTTTGCGATGGAAATCAACTTTCTCTTATTCAACGAGATTTGTTTTTTGTCTGTTTTAAATATTATGTCAATATTTTTTTCGCAGACGCTGGTAATTTTCCGTATATGTATCAAGCTAATG